CACTGGGAGGATATAGTTACAATGTAATTATAATGACACCATCTCTTTCCTTTAGGACATGGTGACACTGCTGGCAGTGGCTGTAACACATTGCTGGGTAGCCTTGAGGAGAAAATATCTCTCACTCTCAAAATAGTATTTTTCAGAGGTTGATATTTTGTTTTTCAGGACCAAGAATCTTCTCCATAGAGGACAGAACATGACATTTGCCAATGAGTTATCCATCATATTGGATGCATATTAATAACCTTTCTTACCAACTTAGAGCATATTTATTCTTTTCAGTTTTTTTAACTTCATGTTTATCTGCATTGTGTTATTTTCTTTTGCTTTTATTTAATAACACATGATTCCCATGAACCCAGACTTTTTTTTCTATTCTTGTTAGTTCCTATTTCAGTTACCTGTTGCTATTTAACACAACACCTTAACATTTAGTAGTTTGAAAAACAAATCGTTCTTTCCTCTCAAGGCTGGATGTATTGAGTTGGCTCAGCTAACCATTCTCACACAGGACCTGTCACCCCATACAGTCAGAGGAGAGTGGGTGCAGCCCTCATCCCAAAGTTATCCAAGATGGTGCCTCATGCTTCTGCATCTGACTTCTTTCTGCCACAGAGTATGCTGGGTCTCCCACATGGTCCCTCTGGAAACAATGCAGTCGGTGGGTTGCAAATTCACTAGCTGGATTTGTGTTCCATGCACATTCTATTGTTATTATGTTCTTTCTCAGGAGGCTCTCTCCTTCTACTCTCTGAGCTCCAGCTCTCGAGAGCAGAAAGCATAGATTACAAGGGCAGTTTTGTGGGCTACATTGAGTCGCTGTGTATTGATCAAGGCAGTCAGGATTAAAAAAGTGTAGGAATAGTTTTCACTTGCAGATGGACAAGTAGCAATGTCACATCACAGATGAGGTTGCAGAACAGGAGGTAGTGCTACTGTAACAGCAAGCAAAAACATCAAAACAACACCCAGGATTTGGAGGCAGATTTATTTTACATCAGCTGGCACTGATTGGTATCATTCCCAAAATATCAGGATTCAAAGACCCAGGGAGGAAGGTTTTTATGGAGTCTGCAAAGGGAAGGTACAGAGGTAAAGTACTTGGCTACCTATGGTTTTTATAATATGCATCATAGTGACCAGCTATGCATCACAGGGACCAGCCATTTCTAGGAGACAGTAGTAACAGGAACTGTAACAGACACTGTTACCTGGGCAACTAACAAACTTGCTGGGGGGCATTTTCTGCTGCATTTTCCCCCTCGCTTAGTTTTCCTGGCAAATCTTTGCTGGGCATGTTTATGTGATTTTTGCAGATGAACTGGGTAAGCCAGTTAATTAATTAATAAAGCCCAGCTAGAAGCAATAACATTAGGGCTGTCAGTGGTCCTAGGATGGATCCTAGCCAAGGTCCCCAAGACTGAAAGTTTGTGGGTTTTTTTTTTTATTATAGGCTTTCTCCCTAAGTTAGACAGGGCAATATGATAGTCTGACAAGTTTTGTCCAAGGTGACTGTAGCTTATCTAGCCTATCAGACTCCTTTCCTAATAGAGTTACTTCCATCCACAAACAGGTTATATAGTACTCAGCATCTGTCAAGGGGTTCATTTTTAAGTCTGGTCAGCTCAAGAACAGTTCATCAGTGAGTGCCAGGCAATTATGGTCTGGTGGGCCCAGCTTGGTGGACAGGTACACAGCAGGATTGAGTGGTCCACAGTTATTCAGGAGGTCCAGTAGAGTATATGGCACCTGGACAGTTAGGTCTCAGCCTAAGGTGAGCTCATGAGTCTTTTGTTTAGAAGGACAGTGGCTATTAGAATTCAGAGGCGAAGTGGGGAGGCAGCCTTAGAGACTGGACCCAAGTATTTGAACAGGTGGGCGACTGGCTTCCTGACCTACTAATGGCTGTACCTTATGGCTTCTAACTAAAAGGTGAAAGAGAGAAGAGAGAGAGAGCCCCAGAGTCCCATCATGCTGCAGGGTCCCTCACACACAGAAACAAGGCAGCTGGTGCCATAATCACATGGGAGTTGCCTCATAGATGCATCACAGAGCATTTACTACAGCAACCATAAATGTCCAGCTTAGCCCTGGCCCAAAGCCTACCAAATTAATCCAGGTGATGCCTGACAATTACCAACACTCAGAATTGTTTTGTTCTGATATGGGGTAGAAATTATGTGTTTTGACTTAAAAAACATCAAGTTATTTTCTTTCCCAGGGTTTCATCTTCCCAAACCTATTCTCCATGTTGAAGTGAATTTCTCCCTTTGGCCATGGGACTTCCACTCATCACCCACCAGTCCTCAGCTCAGAGTCTTTGTTTATGTATTTTACAATTTTAAGCTAGTGGGAAGCTCAGCCACCTGACTCACCATGCTTTCTGTGGAAAAAAAACCCTAGCTAATTATGGGTAATTTGTATAATCAGGGTGAGTTTCATAATTCTCCTCTCCCATTTCCATGGAAACTCCCGGGACATTCCTTCCCACAGGTTAAGCAGTCAAGCCATCCCTAAATAGTGATATGGTTGATAATTGAGCTGTGAGGCAGGACTCAGCCTCCATAGGAAGGCAGTGAACTCAGATGGAGTCAGGCAGCTTCCTACTTGCAGAGAATAAGCAGGATCAGCATACTGTCAGCTCCCTTTATCCCTAATCCCACAGGATGACACTGATCCAGAAGGGATACATACACATGGCATGGGTGGTAGGTCATCTGCTGTTGAGGAGCCAGCTCTAACCCATAGCCCAGCAGATGGGCTTTCTCGGAAGTCTGCAGGTAAATCTTAAGGAGGCCAGGGAGCTAGTCCAGTGCTCAGCAGAAACTGGAGGAATGGAAGAGGAAGGACCTTGTGGTCCTCTCCCATAAGACAGAGAAGTGGGCAAGAAGTAGGTTCAGTATCTCTTCACCAGGATGCTTGACCCTTCTTCCTCCTGGGGGAACCACAGAGCACATTGCCAAGATGCAGGCTGGAGTGCGGTCCCATATGCAACCCATACTGATGTGGTCCATCTGAAATCATGCAAGACTCAGTTTCACCTCCAGAAACCGCAGCGCACCTGCTCTCCCATGCAGCTCTTCTGGACTGCCAAATTTGAGAAGCTTTGAGTGTCCTGAACACTAGAGAACACACATAGGGGTCTTTAGGTGGGCTAAGAATAGTCTCAAAGCATGAAAGACTAGGACTTCAATACAATGACCCACAATGGTCAAGTAGGCCCTCACCAGGTGATGGTACACTAAATGGGGGTGGATGGTCTGAGGCCATTAAGGTGGTTACTCAGTAACTACTTTAGGTGGTGTATATTCACAAGGAAATATTATTTAGCCATATAAAGAATGAAATCTTGTCACTTGAAGCAAAATAGATGGAATTGGAGGACATTATGTTAAACATGTTATTCAAAGAAAGCAAGCACTGCATGTTATTTCTGAGATGAGGGAAGCTAAACAATGTAGAGAGTGATTCCTTGAGACCAGAGAGTGGGGAGGGGAGACAATGGTTATCAAGACACAGTTAGAAGGAACAAGTTCTGGTATTCCTTAGCACAGTGAGTAGCTTTAGTTCACAATAAAGTATTTTATGAAGAATTGGAAGACAGGAGCTTGAAGGAAGGCTCTGACCATAAAGAAATGATAGGATGAACATGATCTCACCTTGCTAGCTAATCAGAGAACTGCTGGGCTGTTCTGTCTCACTTTTGTACCTCCTGCTTATGCATCATATAAAAGCCCTAGATCACCAAAGATCAGGGCCTGATATTTTGGGAATGATTCCAATCAGTGTCCATCGATGTAAAATAAACCTGCCTCCCATTCCTGGGTGTTGTTTTGGTCTTTCTGTTTGCAGTAGCAACTTCATCAATAAAACTGAGGATGACAATACCTCCCTGAGAGTTTTGTGGAGATTAGATGGGAAGGGCATTATTGTGATGATGGAGAAAATTTGAATATACAGTGCATATTCCAATTACTGTATCTACATTAAACCCCTAGAGAATGAAGATGTCAGTGGCACTGTGGCAAGCAGAACTCTGTTTTACACTAAGTGCTGTGGTATTTGGGGGTGAAATTTCATATGTCTGCAACCTTCTCTTCAATGGTTTGGCAAAGAGGTGCATGCACACATGGACGCATGCGTGCCCATGCACACACAAGCGCATAGAGAGATGGTACAGATGTGGCAAAACACTGACCATCGGTGAGTGTAGGTGAAAGGATAGTAAGGGTGCTTATCCACTCAGCTTCCAACTTTCCAAAGGCTGGATATTGTTTCAAAATAAACAATTGATGCATGTGACACCTGACAACTCTTAGCTATCAAACTGGAATTGCTCTAAGGAAACAACACTTCATTTTCATAGGCTCAGTATCTAAACACTGTCTGGTTTTATAGCTTGTGTTCATCCAGTTTTACTTTTAAAGTAAAAGAAGAATAAAATTTTTCTCTTCTTGTTTCTTTCAACTACCTACTTCTTCATTACTTCAATTTGAAATTTGCCTTCATGTTTATGTTAAAAGTGTAAGATGTGCCAATTGTTATTAAAGTATTTTGTGTGTGTGTGTGTGTGTGTGTGTGTGTGTGTCTGTGTGTGTTTAACTATTCCATTCCACCTCCTACCACATCTAAAATCAAATTGGAAGGGGTAAGTTTGTCAGGAAAAACATAGGACACCTAGCTAAAGTTGAATGTTAGATAAATAGTAAATTACTTATTTAGTAAAGATATGTCCCAAATATTTCACAGAGGCCACATTTTGATGGGAAGACTTGTACTAAAATTTCTAAATTATTTACCTGAAATTCAAGTTCAACCAGGGATCCTGTATCTATATTTGTTAAATATGACAACTCTAGGAAAAGCTCTCCATTTCCCTAGTATGTAGGGCTGACCTTGCCCACCAGCATGATTTAACCAAAAGAAAATGTTTAGAGTTCTTCTATGTTTTACACCAGTGTCAATATTCTCTTACCGTTTTTCTTAATTATAACACATTTGAAGGATTGCTTTTTATTTATGATAAAACCTATAGATAGAATATACATACAGATCACATAAAATACATGAGGATGATAATCCACCCTAATACAGTGTTGGATAGGTAGTGTGATTAGCAATTACACATTTATTGCATACAGTATTGTAACATCAGTGGATCTCTTCTCAAAGCATTTGCGTATGAAGAGTACATTTGGGCAGTTAGTGATAGAGTGAACACATTACAAATGCTATTTATAAAGCTACAACCGCAAAAAGTTCAACCTAATTCCATCTCCTGGGTTGGTGTTCTGCTTGATAAATGCTCCTGACTGACAACAACCATTTAGAAAGAGCAGGGAAAAGCAACAAGAGCCCATTAGAGGCAGAAGCAATTACAGAAACTCGCTTAGGAGCAGCCCCACCATTCCCGCCTTCACATGCACGCTGCATATACTGCACCTTCCTGAGTTGCTCTTGGAAACTGGTAGCCAGAGGCAAGCTGGCATGGTGACTCCAGCCTAGGCTGGCCGTCACTGACGGTAGTAGTAATCTTGACCTTCATAGCCATCGTAGCCGCGCCCTTTGTAGTAGCTGTACTCGTCTTCGTAGGCTCGGTAATTGTCCCCACGAGGGCCCCCATTGTCACTGTCGTAGACTTCATACCCAGGGTCGTATTCGCTGCCACCTGTTTGCTCATACTCACCCCCGTACTCAGCTGTGGTGGTCTTCTCATGGGGTGGGGGGGTGGCCCGCGGGGGGGTGGTCCTGTAGACCTCGAGAGCTGGGGTTGTGGGTTCAAACCCACCATCTGGAAAGGGTGTTGTCTTTGAGCTGGCAGTGCTCTGCCCTGCAGCCAAGGTCGTTCCAGCCGTGGTGGCTTCTGTGCCACTTTCTTCCTCCCCTTCCTCTCCGTTGTCTGCCCCACTGCTGCCGTTACCGTTCTCCACCTCTGTGCTGTTGGTGCTGGTGCCATTCACAGCTTGTTCGTTTCCATCGACTTCTGCTTCGTTTTCCTCGTTTTCGTTCTCTTCTTCCTCTTCCTCCTCTTCATCACTTTCCTCTTTTTTAGTAGCCTTGTTTTCCATATCCCCAGCCTGGAAGGAAAGGTTCGAAGGAATCTAAATTTAAGTGTAAAACATTTTCTCAACTTAAGGCCATTCTGCGTCCAGCGCAGTACTTTGTGCTCACAGCCTTGTTCTGGTGTCACTGAGAGGCGGCCACGCTAACTTACCGAAGGGTTGGTGAGCGCTCTGACACACGAGTACCTTGGCAGTGTGCTTTGATGGGGGGAGATGTGCCTGATAAACTTTTCTCGGGTGGAGCTACCTGCTCTAACTTTGCTTCTCACCTTCTCTGTGCTGAAATTCCCTCCCCTGAGATACAGTGGTCCCTGTAGGATCTTTTTGTCCATTTTTCTTTGCCTGTCCTTGATCTTCTGTTAGTGTATAAAAAGTCAGTGCGATGACACGGGAAGAGAACTACCTGGGAGCTCTTTCCTTATTCGTGTGTAGGGAAATGATGCCTGTTCTTGCTTTTTCAACAAGTTAATGAAGATAGTATCAAATACCATGTGTGTAGTGTTGGGATAACTTTGGACTTCCATAAAGAAAAGAAAACTGGCTTCACCTTTTGGGGGGACTATTACCTTCTTTGGAAGCTGGATTGCAGCTAACCCTATGTACTCTGTCCCAGCAGTGACTTCTTCTCCATAGCTAGGTGTTGCGGTAGAAAGTGTGGTATTCTCAGCCTCAGAGTCTTCGTCTTCATTCCCATTAGAATCCTCGTTGTTTTCTTCCTCATTGGAAGCCTCCTGGGGAAAACATCCACAGCAAGAAAACTTACTGTAGTTAGAAGGCAGCTCTGGATTTATTGGAGCTGTGAATCACTCTTTGGAAAATCTTTGTATCCTTCAGCAGCTCACTGTTCTGCCTCTGCTATTGCCATTTGCACGTCTCAATTCTAAGAACTCAAAGTTATCTACTTCTATTTGCCACAAGAAAGTGTGTCTTAGATTTTTTTTTTGCTTTTTATTTGACCAGTTCAAAAGTATTTGTGGTTTCAAACACCTGGCACATGTCACTCTATCTGTAGGAAATAGAAAATAAATAGTCTAAGAAATTCTTAGTAGTGTATTCTATTATTGTGAGAAGACTTTTTAAAAAGTTGATACTCTTCAATGAATATTCACTATGTTTGTGAACATTATATTAATTTGTCTTAATTCCATGTTCTTAGGGAGTTGTTTAATTGAACTAATTTCCAAATGTAGCTCATAGCCAATATGAAAAGCCAAGAGTTTGTATATGTAGATCTTACTAGCTTTCACTGAATATTGGAAACTAGATTCATTGTAAATGATTTTAGGAGAATGTAGTGTTAAGATAACTTTAAGATTTCAAGCAAGCAAACAAATAAGAACCCAGATTTAGCTTGTCTTATTGACACAGAATGACCAAAGCACAATACACTTGTTTCGTTAACTTTGTAAATTTTTCAGTTTCAGTGAGCAGCCTTGCTATTACAAGAGCTACCCGCTAGCTATGTCCAAGCTAATTGTATCCAGTTCCCACAGATACCCTTAGGTCTGCCTAGGTTTTCATTTTTGGTCTTTACTTCAACAGACTAAACCTTTGAGTGGTACAAGGAGATGTTATTGGCTTGCCTGGAAAGAGTGCTAAGCATGTAGTAGCTGGGTCCTGTACTCTTATTTCACAGGCAAGAAAGTTTGAGGTCTACTGGGAGAAATAACTTGTGTGTAGTCAGTTAGCTGACTGAAAGAAACAAGTGTTGATTAGAATGTGGAGCAACAGGAACCCTCGCACACTGACAGTGGGAATTTACATCATTCTATCTGTTTGGAAAGCTGTTTCCTTGTATCTACTAAGGCTGAATGTATGTACTTCTGTTGACTCAGAAATTTAACTTTTTGGTAAATGGCCTCCATAAGGGAACACAGATACTCACCAGGAGTTCTGCAATGTTCATAGGAACACTCTTTGTAATAGCCCTAACTTGGAAACCACCTAAATGGTCATCAAGAGAAAAATGATACATTTTAATGTATTCACACATGAAATCCTGATAATAAGACAGAATGATTAAAAATGACAGAACAATACAGAGGATTTCTGGAGTTGAGAGAAGAAAGAACGCATAAAAGAGCCCATGTTATATCATCCTACATACATAATACTCCAAAACCTGTTAGAGGTCAAAATAGTGGTTATCTTTGGTGTGGATCAGTTAATGAGTAGCATGGAGCAGAGGACATGTGCTGCATTTGTACACAAATGCTGGTTTCACTTGTGTGTTTAGTTTCTGAAATTTCAATAAGCTACATACCAGTGATGATTTCCTTGTTTGCTTCAACATTTTAAAAGTGAGGTTGAAACAGTTTAGGAGTAGACAAAAAAAATGTATGCCAAAGTATCTTCCTTGTGTGAACACAATTCCAGGGGACTCTGTACTTAGCCTAAATTGTCTCTGAAATTTTCAGGAAGAAATGAGAAAGAATGCATTTCCAAAATCTCTTCAGGGTGGAAGATTCCCAGTTTTTTATTTCTTCACATTTGCATTATTATTATTTTTAATGAATGATCACCAGAGCATTTGCTCCTCTGAAGTTTCAAAATAAAGCCACCAAATATTTATAGGGTACTATATGTGTAAAAATTTATGTTAGTGTGAGGAGATACAAAAGTGGGTGTAGCTCTATTCTTTACCCAAACACAAGTCTAATCTCTTATCTCTTGGATCATGAGGCATTTAGATAGGATCAGAGAGAGGTTGGCAAAGTTTTACATGTGCATGATTTCATTAAAGTCCCAAGAGACACAATCTTCCTCCATCCTCATCCACTACCATAAATGAAGAACCAGGGTCAGAAGATATGCAGTCTAATCAGGACACATAGTTGTAAAGGTGACTTACAGTCACTGTAGAGCAAATATCTATAGTTAGATGGATAATTCTAGCTTAGCTTTTATGTAAGATCGCTATGTGCAACTTCAGGGAGAATTTTGTGGGATTTAGTAAGTGACATTTTTCGTGGTACTGGCATGACATTCTTGTAAAGTCTTTCTTTAAGCTATTAGTGTGATTATGGTGTGGGAAATGGTACTTTAAAAAACCCCAAACTAATAATTTGTCACCTTTCATGTTTCCACTGCCTTTTTGTTTGCAAGGTAGCGGACCCTTATATGTACTTGCTTTTTTACTGTCATTGTCTATTCATGAGTACTACCCAATACCTGAATTTAGAAGGTTTCAAACCAGTGCATAGCTATAATTGACTATCCAGGAAAATGCATCCTAATTAGTATGTTCCCTTAGGCAAGAGTGCTAGTTATAAATAAGATAACACAGTTTCCAAGATATGCAGATTAATTTTAGCCATGGACTGCACTAATTTGCAAAACTATTTAGAAAGATGTGTATAGATCCTGAATATTTTCATTTCCATAAAATATAAATTTTGTTATTAGACAAAATATTCATGAAATTCCCATTTTAAAAACAACCTAATTCTGGTAATTATGAAAGGCAGATCAATCACAGTCACTCTCTAGAGAATATAAGTAGGCTTTTTTAGACTACCTGCTTAAGAAACTGACTTTCTAAAGTTTAGTCCTTAAAACAAATCTTGTGTTGAGTTTGGGATTATTGTTTGCTTGTCATCTACCACCATATTCACTCAGATTTTCATCGTCCATCTAAACATAAATACTTCATGCTGCTTTTCAGCAGATTTTATACTTCTTTCACTTAAAATGGAGACATTTTTGCTTTTGTGTACCACTTATAGGCAACTTTAAACCCAAACTGCATGGTGTTTTAGACAGGTTATTTTAGTTGATTTTGGTTTAAATAACATCCCGCTTGTTCAAAATAGTAGACTGTGGGCAGTTGGTGAAGCAGCAGCAGCTATTTGCTAAGCCCAGATTACAGTAGACTACTTTCCTGTTTGTTTTTGAGCTGCCTGGTTTATTTTGTGAAAAGGCTGAAAATTTCTTACCTCTTCTTCCTCTTCTTCTTCTGAACTATCACCATTTCCATTTTCTTCAGAAGAGTCACTACTGCCCTAAAAAATTATATATATATATATATATGATATGAATTATATATGTGTGTACATATATAGTCAACATCAACTAAAACTTCTTGCTGTTTGAAATAAGGTAAAACAAAAATACTTATTGACACTGACTAATATCATCAGTTTAAATGATTTATTTACTTAGAACAGGTCTCATGCTAATGTGAGAAATGTGTTTGGCATGTATGAAATGAGGGGTATTCTATTTTCAACCCCACAGTATTGACAAGGTATTGAGACATGTTGTATTTAAAAACTAGAATAAAGAATCATGGGATTTGTTGAATATGAAAGAATGAAGTAACATCAGGCCCAGTGTTTTAATTTCATAGAGAAGGAATCAGAAGCTCAAACTGTGATTTTTCCCAACCAGTTCAAGGCAGATCTTGGAAAAAAACATAGATTGCATTGCTTTATTTCCTTTCTAAAACATAAATGAAATGATCATTCAGCTTATTACCAAATACAAGTTGTTACTAGATGATTCATTTAAATAAATGAGCTCAGGGTGAATTTAAATCATAATGTTATTTAACCAAAAATAAAGTTGCTGGGCTAGGGATTTAGCTCAGCAGCACAGCGCCTGCCTGGCAAGTGCAAGGTCATGAGTTCGATCCCCAGTACCGGAAAACAAAACAAAACAAAAATAAAGTTGCACCTGTAATATCTTTCTATCTAATTAAAACTTTTAAAAAATGATTAATTTATATATATGAGGTAAGTGTATATGAGAGAAATGTACTCATTCAGGAGATTCACAAAATAGTATCCCTTTAAAAAGTTAGTATGAAATGAGAAAAAAGTAAACCAAGGAATCTGTATGTGAAAGTGTTATTATAAGTTAATGAGGTTTACATTATTTTCAATGCTGGGATCCAACCCAGAGACTTGTGAAAGCCAGGCAAGTGCTATTCACCCCTGAGCCACATTCCCAGCCCAAGCTTTACTATGTTTTTAAAAAGCAGTATAAATCTAAATATCTGTTGTCAACCTTCAAGACAGTAGAGGAGATTATCTTTCCACCAAAGACAATCCAAGCCAAATCTGCAATTTTCCTATCTTTTCTGCAACCACTGCTAAGCGTACCAGGCATTAAATGAATACCCAGCTCCAGATTCTTTCATTTCCCGCCCGGCACATTCTAGCTTTGGTTCTCATAGCTCAGCCATGAATCCCCTGTGGCGAGAACATGGCTGCAGGAGGCTTCTAAGCACTGCGTTAAGAATCAGATGGGAGAAGCACTCGGGTCCTCCTTCAGCTAGGCTTTCCCTGCCAGCTCTCATCCACCCAGGGAAACGGAACGCTTGTCCCTCAGCCAAGAATAACCTCAGGTGGAAAGAGAATAACTAGGCCTCCCTCCCCCGCCATGACCTTAACCATCGTGCCTTCATAGTCCAGAGCAGGCGTGAAGCACATTATTGTAGATGAACTGTTTCTACTTGCTAGTTAAATTTAATATAGAGGGCGGAGTATTTACACACTCACTGCTGTTTTTCTCAGTGAGAGTGCTCTAGCCATTCTACATGCCCGTTCCCTTCTGGCTTCTCTCTGTAGCTCAACCACACCACTCTTCAGTCTGGGACACTGACTTAAATGCTGTGCACAGTGGCTTGAAACATTGGCATTTTCCCCTTTCCTCCCATCCTTTCATGTACGCCCTATGCCAATGTGTCACTTGATGACAAATCTGCTACGGGTTCCTCCTAGCAGATAGGTAAGCTATAGGAGGCAAAACCCATATGACATATTTCCAGGAGGCTGGTATCTCAGAAATGGTTGTATATACACAGGTTTGTCTGAATAAGACATGAATTTCAAAGCCAGTACCGCTTAATGCATTTGAGGTTGACAATTTTGGACACTGTCTAATTTAATATATTTAAGGGTCATCAAACTTTGTAAAGTAGGAAAATAGGTCATAAATACTAGGTTGACAGTTGGATCAGGAGACATGTTTTTTATTTTAAACAAATTATCTTACAAATTGTATATTAATTGGAATAGACCTACTACACATAATTTGTGAAAATTTTGTATATTAAGGTTTAAGAATTTTGGATCTGTCAGTAATGAAAATTTAACCTCTCCCAACATCGTTTTACTATAGACATTTTAGTTGGACCATACATACATCATACATATCCATAAAAATATCTAGGTGAGAACGCATATATCTATCAGATATTTCAGAAAAATTGAGGAGCTAGTCAGAAACTTGAATTTACTATCATTTTTCTTTAGTTTAAGAAAGGGAACAAAGTTCCAAATAAGCAGTTTATTTCTGGGCCTGAGGTGAACCAAGCAATGGAAGACAATTCTGAAAACCCACAACTCTTGTATCATTTATACTCATATTTCTGTGGCCACACAAACTCCCGTAATTATGATGGTGCTAGAAATACTTTAAAATGGCCTTTTTCCTACCATTGTGTTCGTGGGGTCAGCCTGTCACATGGTGAGACGCAAGGCCAAGCCACTGCGCTGACGCAGCAATTTGAGCGTCTCAGCTGCTTTAGGGTCCCAGGAGTCCTGGGTCCAAGGGTGCATAACTAGTGCTTGGAATCTGAACTGTACAGTGATAAAAATAGTGGTGTCTGGTTTGTTGTATACCACACCCTCCAGTTTTCCAAAGTCCTCTTCACAGGTAACCGAGCAAAAATGGAAACTCTTATTTTTAGGATTTTATTTTCCTTTTTGTTTACAAATTTTAGGAATGTCTTGGTTTTCTCAGAAGCTGTTTAGTGCCCTTTGTGAGTTTCTCTTTCCTCTGCACTGCTTGAGCCGTATGTCTGTTACAATTCCCCTGCAATGTGTGACATGCAGCTCTCATCATCTCTACAGGCTAAAGGGTTAGAAAATTGTAGTAATTACCCTCACCAAGGAGCCTCTTAAAGGTCGCTGCTGTTTACGAAGTCAATTTTTCCCCTTCCCAATTAGAAAACTCGGAATTGTCAGATGAGTCAGCTATGTGACACTACTAGCTCAGCTGCTACGTGACAATGAACTTCTTGCGGGTCTGTGAGTGACTGAGAAATAGTCCTCTTCTGTCAGTAAGTTAGCTAAAACCCTGAACTCGGTGTGCCGAGGTGCTCAGCTTAATTACGTCAGTCTGGATTGGGCCTAAATGATTTGTGTGTACATAGCTCTGTTTAAAAAAAAAAAAACAAATTCAGAAATTAACTGTATTATGTGAAAACCAGCTTTCTCTAGTGAGCAGTCTTTCTGGGTGAATCCATTGGGAGTTGAATTCAAGTGCTCTGATGTTAAATTTGATCACTTGAGGTTATAATAGGTGAAAAGGAAAATTAATTTTCATACTCACCTGAACTGCAAATCGTTTTAGAGGAGGGTAAAAGTAGCCATGCTTGTAAAGATAATATTGTGGCCTGTACTTAAAGACCTGCACAGACAAAGTGAATGTTATATTCATTTTTGAGGCTCAATAAATCCAAAGCAAATCTACGCCAAGGAAGAATGCTATGGTCAATTACCCCATTTTCTTCAGAATCTTCTAACTTGACTCTTCTATGCAAATTTTTCATCTGTTTAAAAGAGAATGTAATTATTATCTATACTCTCTTTTACATCAAAATGCTACATTGGAAAAATAAGTATCAGGTTTTAATAAAGAACTTACTGAAAATGCACAGGCCATCCCCAAGATGCTGAGCAAAATTAAAGCAATCTTCATTTTGGTGATGATTTCTGAAATTAATGAAGTGGTAAGATTAATAAATATTAAAATTGAGGTCCTGGTTTTTTGCTCATCCCCAAAGATGATATTTAATTTGTCACTTCTGTCTGAATAACATTTGGGCTGATTAAAACCCAGTTTCTCGGCTGGAGCTGTAGTACAATGGTAGAGCGCTTGCCTAGCGTGTGTGAAGCCCTACATTCACTTTCCAGAACAAAATCAAAGCAAACAACACACACAGGTACATACATACATGCACATGCAAGCATTCACACATGTGCATGAGCACACACACAAAGCACATGCACACACACACACACACACAAACCAAAAAACCCCACCAAAACCCATTTTCTGCTTTTGTTTTCAAATTGTTCTTTCCTTTTGACTTATAGAAGGCTGACTTTACCCATCTGAGTTCTGCTGAGTTTTGTATTTGCTTTTAGCCTGTTCAGCTGTGATTTGTCATTGAAAGGCTGTTTCCTCACTACAAGGAGCTTAGAAGATTTATAGTGCTCACACTAGGTGAGGAGCATCTTAGTATCACTGACCTGGGCAAGTCACCTATGTGGACTGAACTGTGGAAGTAGGTAGGTGTCCTGTTTGCTTATAATTAAAAACTAGCAAAACCTGAATACAGTATGTTTAAGTGATTGCTTTTGTGCAATGACCTCCAAGCAGTTTCCAACTTCTGTGCATAGGTTTTACAATGAAAGTTCAATTGTGAAATAGGAGGTAGGACTGTTTTTCTATGAATATATTGGAATACTGTGAGTGGGTGTGTGCGCGCTCATGTGTGTACATGAGCTCGTGTATCCTCCCATGTATGTGCGGGGGCAGGGCATGACATGTGAAGTACTATTCTCATGGCTTATAACTCTCAATAGCTGTGTCTCAGGATGTTTTGATGAGAAAAGTTCTGCAGAGTCTCATACGATGAATCAGAGATTCTCTGGGGTGCCAACCATTGATGGAGCCTGCAATCCCATGGCACAACTGATGCGACTCTCAAAGTAGAAATAGTTTCTAACCTCCCTGGGCCTTGCAGTCACATACAGACCCTCCTTTCCTCAAAGGTTCCTCATTAGTATGAGGACGCAGTGAAATACTTCTCTATTTTAATTTTATTATAAATAAATAAATTTTAAAATTAATTTTATTAATTAAAAATTCTATTATCTAGTGGTTGAACAAACTTAGCGGAAGACCTACTAGCATCTGCTCACTTGCATTTAGATACAAATAACTGATAGCGCTGTCTCATACCTAATGACAGTTTGGCAATATTTTGCTAGCAATGGGTAATGATGGTGACAATTTCTCCATAAACACACTTCTTTTGGTTTATAATTAAAAACTAGGCAAAACCTGAATACAGTATGATTAAATGATTGCTTTTGTGCAATGACCTCCAAGCAGTTTCCAGCTTCTGTGCATAGGTTTTACAACAAAGGTTCATTTGTGAAATAGGAGGTAGGACTGTTTTTCTATGAATATCTTGGAATACACTGTGTGTGTGTGTGTGCGTGCGTGCACATGTGTGTGTGTATACATGAGCTCTCACATAAAAGCACTCCATAAACACAGAAAGGCAGTATCTAAAATGTGCAAAGCCTGTGCCATATATTGTACACTGCAGCTAGATTGGGGATTTTTGTCCTCATCACTCAAGATCCACTGCATCCATACTGAGTATCTGACCCTCATGAACATACAGAGAAGGGGGAGGGGCCGGCTCCTACGTCACACCCCATTTTTGTGGCAGGGGGGGCCTTTTGATTCTGATGCTGCACACTTCCCCACAGTCCGCTCGGTCCACCTGTTAAAGAAGCTTGCATGGCTATGGTGGTGCTTTGAGTAATGCTTTGATCATTGCGGCCCCCATGGCCGAGTCCAACAGCAAACACAAAGATTATCGCTATGCAGCCCGTGAAAACACCTGGGATATTTAAAATATTTGATAAAAGTAAAATCTTAAATACATAGAACTCTGGAAAGAGCTAATGATTACAGAAATTTCTCATAAAAGTCATAAAATAGCCGGATGAAAACATGGCAGGGGTAATATTTTTAAAAGAACCAAATGGAGCAATTGCTTGCCCCATAAATCTCGTTTTATTTAGTTTATGATTCATGAAAAAGTAAGCACATCTGTAGTGATGTGCTACTACTAACTCAGGCATTCTTGAAGGACGATTTTTGAGAATCTGATTACACTTTTTTATTGAGAAGAACATGATAAGCTACCAAAATAACTTATTTATTCAGTACTATATATTTTCCATAATGATTTTTGAGCTATAGGATATTAATACTATGAAATATTATGTATAATACCTTACATATATCTGAAGCACAGACTCGGTATAATTTCTAGAGAGATCTGAGTATACCCAGGCAAATTTACAAACGCAAAATGATATTTCAGCCAGTTTATGTTGAATGCATCACAGTGACAAAACAAACAACACTCTATCATGAACAGAAATAGAAAGCAAGAAGTATCATTTTCCAGTTCATGATCCTAATATTAAGAGCTTATTTGCATACTTAGGTTAACAATCTAAGCCTGTTGGAAAGAATCTAAAGTCAGAGGGACTAGTTTAAGGCTAAGCGAACAGTAAATAACATAGCTATTCGACACATTACAGTGAGACTCACATTTAAATAAAAATTCAAAGCCAGGACAGAGATGAGAGTGTGGAGTGCCTGAGCCTAAGGGCTGAAGCCGTCAGGAGGAGTCTTACCCTGTGGCAGTCCTGGAGCAAGCAGACAGGCTGACCAGTGAGAGACACAGATTGAGTGCTTCCCCAGCCCTCTCCCTCATTCACTTGCTCTTGCTTGCTATAAATCTCTCCTTGCCTTTCAGCAGCCAATCACTGTCGTGACCAAGGTGATGTCAGAATGTGGGTTCTCACCAGAATACCCCCAAACTCCAACACTTTTTCAAGACACAAGCTCAGTTGAATAAACATGAAACGTAGTTCCAGTGCCAAGATGTTTGCATTGTGGAATTTAATTGAAGGTTTAGAGGAAGATGAATAGTTTGAATTCCAAATATATATAATAATATACTGGATTTGAATTAAAATAAATAGCACAGATTTAACCATTTAAAAATTTCATAGTTACACAAGTTTTCACGATGTTGAAAGAGAAGAAAACTTACTAGCATCAGACACAGCCCTGTAGTGGTGAAAGAAGAAAAAAAGAAACTAAATAATAAAGGAATGGAGTTCAACAATACGTATTTTAATATCAGTTATTTTGTTTTTATTGCCGAAATATGCTTCAATGACTCACAAGTTAAAATTGCCATAATTAATCAGACTTTATGAAATATATTTGCTAAAACATCACGTTGACTTAAAATTTTTTCAAGGATTCAGCTACTGAGAGGCAGATTTAATTAATGGAAAATAAATGTTTTTTAGATCTTTCATTTATGTAGCCCCTTCCTGATATGCAAATTAGGTCACTTCATTTATTTTGGGGGGTTTCTGTATAGCTTTTTCTGTTCATTTCCATATATAATTTTTTCTATGAGCATAGAAAAATCACTAAAGCTGGCAGTAGTAATCCATTGTTATTGAAATTATTCATGAAAACCAAGTTCTAATAAGTGGATTGGTAGATGAAAGTATTAATTTTTTAATTTTCAAAGGGAAATCTAGCTAGTATATACTTTGCATATTTATTGTCCTTTTTTGTTCTCGTTCTTTTTTTTTTTTTTTTTTTCTCTTTTTGAGACAGGGTCTTGCTATGCAGTTCAAGCTGACCTTGAGCTCACTTTTCAGCCCAGGCTGGCCTTAAACACACAGTGATCCTCCTGCTTCAGCCTCCTGAGTGCTAGGATTGCAGGTGTATGACACCACACCTGGCTCTTTCTTGTTCTTAAAGGTCTATTTCAATTTATTTTTCCTCTGACTATAAGGTCTATTTCACAACAGCTAGAGCAATGGAACTTAATAAATATCATTGTGTGCCAATCATCTGTAAGAGTATTTGGATGACTTCTCCAAAGAAAGGCGTTTCATCAAAGTTGCTTAAAAATGTAGTCATAAAATATACATTGGGTAGCCTCTTTCAATTCATTTTAACCCCATAAATTTAGTTCAATTTACTGATCCTAGAATTACAGAGGAGACTGTGTTATAGGATAGCATAAGAAGAAACAAGAAGGAAAAACACATTAAAAGAAAAACTTGGTCCTTGTCTTTAAGACTTTCATGGTTTTGTAGGGGAAAAAATATATACAGATGTAGGGCACAACAACTAAAATATCTATAGGTTCAGAAGTGCTGTGGAATACAAAGGTTCAACCGTGACAAAAAAGCAACAGCACATGATCTTTAGAGAGATTAGAAATTGTCTAGGTTATCAAGAGGAAAGAGATTGTCCAGAAGGAAGAAGAAGCAGTTTTACGAATGGACTAAAAGGATATGAACATGTATGAAACCATATACACTGGCATCTTATATGGGGGCTCACATGCTTGTTCATTTGCTCTATTCCACTTGTTACACACACACACACACACATACAGAGAAAGAAAGAGAAAAAAAATCTGAGATTATTCCCATTATACAGATGAGATAAGTGAGGCATAGTAATGGTAACTATGTCCAGGACTGCACAGCTAATAAATGGACTAATCAAAAAATCAAAGTCAAGTCTAATTCTAGCACTCACTCTCACTGCCTATCTTTGCTGGCACACACAGAACACTTCAACAATTCAGTAAACTGGGATGTAGAGAGCAGAGGTAGTGGCAAATGAGATGATGGAGAGACCTGCAGGTCCCCTAAGGACCAGGGACCCCATCATAGAAATTGGGAAAACCTAAAGGTTGAAGCAGAAAATCACATTCAGATTTGCAGTTTGGAAAAATCATCCGACGATAACGCAGAGCTGAGTGAGGAAAGCGACCGTTATGGAGGAAGAGAACTTGACAAAGCTATCTTAGCGGATTAAGAAAGCCGTAATAAATTCTGAACTCAGGCAATAGTAGGGGGCTCAGAGAGGAGGCAACATGAGAAAGATAGTATCAAAACTCCATGTATATATACAAGATAGCTAAGATAATTGTACTACTAATTTCTAGTCATTGAAAGGAGCAGTTAGTGTTTATATTATTTGATCAATTTTGCATGCCTGTGTTGTGTAATCTGAGCAACTACTATGCAGATAACAATATGCAACATATTAACCATTGTTAATTTCCTATCATCTTGTTTTGAAATTCTGTATCATTTTTATTGTTTTTTTTCCCCCCTCTCTTTAAAATAAAATTTTAAAAAGTAGTACTGGATTTCAACCCGGATCACCTTGTGAATGTTGGGATCACATTTCATACCATGTTTCGTAGAGTACCCACTCAACTACAGTCATTTGGCAAGCATGTGTTGACATGACGTAATGCTATAATGAAAGGGCCAGAGGCTGAGGATCAAAAGACGGAGTTTTATTCTAGATTTTCCCACTAACTTAATTCTCTTAGCTTCTTTGAGGTCTCACTGTAACTAATGTTTTAGCCACTGAGGATGTTTACATCAAAATAAAACTTTAAAAAGACCAATATTGTGTGTCTCCCTCACCCGTACAGCCTGCTGGCCAAGTCATTGAACTTGGGTGATCAGATCTCTATATCTACCAGGCTAAAGGAAAGACAGGTATAGAAGAATATATAAAATCATTCTGCTGGGATGTAACCAGCAAAATCAGAATGGAAGAAACTTTACTAGATACGTTACCTGATTTCTTCTATAAAGTAGTAGAAATAATAGAATGGAAAGGGAAACTATACATTTAAGTAAACTTCAGAGACATGCATAAAGACAGAACAGCAACTGGAGAAATATCACCTTTTAAGGTGTGATGATATTTTAAAAAATGAATTCTCTTTGCTTAGAGATGAAATAGTTATCTGTGTTAGGGACAATAATAAAACAGTTTAATCGTAAATTGATAATAGCTGATTCCTGCTATTTGTTGAGCTACTTAATCAGGATGTATAGTACTTTTCTCTACTTTGGTATAAGGATGTGATTAAGCTATGTGATCTCTACAGACTTTTCAATCTCTAATATTCTGTGATTCTCTATTTCTAATACCTTATCAAGCCTCAGATACTTCCCAGTGGTCCTCTAGATACTAAATTGATTTGATCCAGGTTTTTCCTTGGTGTATTCTTTCTGAAGAGTACTGCTACAGAGGAACAAAATCTAAGATCCTAACTTTCCTTTTTTCTGTAATTGGGGTCGTCACAACAACACTATTTATTACAATGCTCGTTATCTCACTACTCTCCTTCACTTAAGCCCTTCGTTACAAATCGATTCTCTTTGATAATGTACGAGCATACATACACGTCAGAGCTCTACAGTGACAAGCTCCCCCGTGAGATGGGTCATTTATGTAGAAACGTCTTCCTCACCATGATGCGTCTTATTTTTAACCTGTAGCGTGTCGTTGGCACCATTCCTGTTTCTTTGCAGTTCAACTTCCTCCCTTCTTTCTTTTTGCTCTTGTGTTTGGTGAAGTCTTCATTACTACTTTCCAGGATATTGCAGTGATGATCTAATCCTGAACACTTGGCTTATCTCCCCTCCCAATTTATTCTATGAAAGAATTTGGAATCAAATATCAGGGTGAAGTCTTGGTGGTTTTCAAGCTTTTACTATGGTAAGAACACTTAGCATGAGATGTACCTTCTTAAGTCTCCCCAGATACTGTTCACTAGAAGTGCACTGGTACACAGCAGGTCTCTGGCACGTACTCATTTTGTATGGCTGACACGTTGTGTCTCTTTATTGGTAACCTTCTATTTCTCCCTCCTCCTGGCCCGACATGACCACCATTCTACTCTGATTCTGAGTGTAACTATTTATTAAATCTTCTGTCAGTGCACGAAGTATTTATTTTTCTGTAACTGGCTTGTTTCATTTAGCATAATGTCCTCCTGCTTTGTCTGTATTTCTCATATTGCGGAATTGCCTTTTTATTAAAGGCAGAATGATACTCCCTTGTATATGTGTATCACATTTTCTTCACCCATTCACTAGTAGGTGAACATTTAGTTTATTTCCACATGTGACTACTGTGAATGGTGCTGTGAAGAGTGCTGTTATCTCCTGAAGATACTGGTTTCAGTTCCTTTGGATAAATACCCAGACATAGGATGGCTGGATCTATTAATCCTAAGTAGGACTGTAGTCCTGTTTTTTTGCAGAAAATTCATACTATTTTCCATAATGACAGCAACAGTTTACTGTACTACCAACATGGCAAAGGACTCCAATTTCTTTCTTTTTTTTTTTTTTTTTTTTTGGTTTTTCTCCGGTACCGGGAACCGAACTCACGACCTTGCGCTTACCAGGCAGGCACTTTGCCGCTGAGCTAAATCCCCAGCCCCAGGACTCCAATTTCTGCACATCCTCGCCAACACTTGTTTGCCTTGGTTTGTTTTCTAGCAGCTGTAAGGTGCTATCTTGTTGTCATTTCGATTTGCATTTTCCTGATAATTAGTGACAGTGACACTGAGCATCTTTTCATGTATTTGTTAGCTATTTTTATGTCCTATGGACAACTATCTACTTGCGCCTTTAGCCCTTTTCTTAATTGAATTGTTAGTTTGTTTGTTTTGGGTTTTTTGCTATTAATTTAAAAGAATTCCTTCAATATTTTGGAAAATAACTCCTTATAGGATATATGATTTGCAACTATTTTGTCCCATTTCTTAAGTTGTCTTCTTGATAGCTTTTGACTTTGGACCAAATGTTCTAGATCTAAGAATCTTTACCTTCTACCTCCATTTCGAATCTCATTTATTCCTTTTTCCCTGCCAGAATAGCTTT